TGAGCATACGACAGCGCGCAAACAGACACATACAGACAACGGTTTGCATATAAATATGCGATTGTTTGTGGCTTTTTGTGGGTACGCTTCGTGAGCATACAACATTGTGTTCCTTTTTACTGTGCGGTAATTGAATTTGTGCAACCTGCCACACCCATGCAACCGCAAACGCAAACACACACCCACACGCACGCACATCCATTCACCGGTGCACATGCATGTGTGATTGTATGTGCGTGCGGAGGTATGTAAGCTTGCAACATGCCGCTTGCCAGAATTGCAAGTATTGCTGAGGCATGCAACACGCCATAATGTACGTATAGGAATATGTATAAATGGAATGACTGATATGCTCGCTGGTTGGTTGCTTGCCATGCAGCTCACGCAAACGCAACGCAGCAACCGCCACAATGCGAATACAAAGTGAAAACTCTTAGTCACACAAGGTGGGGTGGCAGGAGTTGAGGTGTTGCTTGGTGCATGGGAAACTCGCTTAACTCCAAATGCGAATTGGTCGAAGGAAAAAAATTGCAACATCCTTTTAATACTCTTGCAACATGTTGCCACAGAGTAAAATAGTTTTGTTCACCTAAAGGTTGTTTGTATCACCTTAACTACTAAGATAGATATAGGGTTATACGAGTATATATCAGTGATCAGGATGACGAGACGAGTTTAAATCCTATTGTCTGTCTGTCCGTCCGTCTGTCTGTTCAAGCTTGTAACTTGAGAAAAATGTAGATGTCGTAAGTTCGAATTCATTCAGAACAAATTCTTTCAACACCCCTATCGATAATGTGAAAATGAATGAAATCTGACGATAGCCTCGCCCTCTCTCATATAACGGTACTGGTAAAAACTACTTAAAGCGCGATAAATCAATAACTGATAACTGAATACGCCAGAGACATTTAATTTTTACCACCGAGATGATATGAGAGAACTTTATTGCAGCCAGGGTCAAAATTGTACGATGGGCGTGGCACCGCCCATAGCTGAAATCACATATCTCGGGACATGCTAGAGCGATTTCATCCACATTCCGATATAATATTCCTCCTACATTTTTTTGAGTCAGTGCGAAAATATGCGAAATTGGACTACAACCACGCCTACTTCTCATATAACACAGTTTTAAATAAAAAGATAATATCGGGTGAATAATTGCTATAGCCGGCGGATTTCACTCCATATGTTTGGTGATGGTATGTGAGGTACCTGAATGAAACCAAAGGAGCATGTTTTCAATCTGTGGCATGTTAATAGCATGTGGTATTGGCAAAAATTTATAAAATCGGGTCGATACTACCCCCAACTCTAATATACTACTTATAATGATTTTCGTTATTCTGACAAGTTGTATGACGAATATGTCGGTCAGTGAGTGTTATTTATACATAAAACTGTTTGAATATATTTTTTCGAGTAAACCTCAGCATTGTCAAAATGAATGTAATCAACTCGTCCCTTTCTCCGTCCCCAATATACTCCTTAAAATAATTTCCGACTTTTCACCTGTATTTAAACCGTACATTTTGGTCAAAATGTATATATCACACATTTAGTGAAATTAAATGGAAAAGTTTTTTTATTGAATTAGCTTTTCGATTGAGTCAATATCACTACATCTGTATATCTCATTTGAAGGTGTTTTTAATATATTTTAAGCTGACACGAACTAAAATATAGCATTTAAACTGAGTCTAAGATATTGGCCTTCAATATTTTAATAACCCAACGATTACCCTCCTCCCGCCCAACCGACGCGAGGGGCGCAATCCGCATACGTGCGGAATTAGCCGAGTCAGAAAAGGCAAAAGAGTTTTTTAAGTGTTGAGATCTAAAACTGCTCAGCTACAGAAACAAAAATTTCAACAGCTAAGATCTAAAGTTACAATATAATAAATTGTTACATTTTCATTTATTAAGAGAAAACAATAAAGTCTTTTTAATTTTGAAAAGTGAGTCAGATAAGTCATATGTGCTGGAATGAGAATTAAAATCATGACATATACGGCGGAATGGCTCGTTTAGTTCAAAATTTGATCTACAGGATTTTAGCAGTAAAGTTCTAAACTGCCTCGAAAGGCGAACCGGGATATTAAATTTAATTTCAGACAGGAGAAAAGAACTGCAAACAGTTCCATTCAAAAGTTTCACTAAGAATGTTATGCCAAGCATTTCCCTACGACTAGAAAGTGTAAGTAGATTAATAAGTTTTAAACGACTAGTGTATGGAGGTAGACTTACCCTAGCATCCCATCGGAAATGCGCTAAGGCGAATTTAAGAAGATATAAAATTTGATTGTAATTTATTCACGACTTCATCGAATAATGGCTGTTTAATTCTATCGCTACATTTTTAAATGTAAAGATTTGCCAACACCGGAAGGAATTTACCGGGCTTTGATTCTTGCAATTTGCAAAAGTATAAACTGTTCGGTTACACCCGAACTTAGCGCTTCCTTTGTTGTTAGGATCTCTATTGTATATGGCCAGTATCCAGTGCGGCGAGGTGCCCACTGAGGGTATGGAAAAAAGTGAAGTTTTTACAAGCATTTCTGTGGCTCTGTCTTATTGTGTGGAGTTCGGTTTGTTTTGCTATTTGCGCACTTTCATGACAAATACAATTTTTCAATTTTGAAATTTCTATGGGAACTTCGGTTTTTGTTTTTTCTATATGCTTATATACATACCATACATAATATATATAATGGTAGATATATTAGATAACATAACCCGCATAGAAAAGCGCTATTCGAATAGTTTCGTGTGCTCTTTGTGGCTCTTTTCGCACTATTATTGCTTGTTCGTTTGAAATTTAGTTTGGTTTTTAATTTTTCTGCCCATATCAGCTATATTCTGTAGATTTAAATTAGTATTTTATAAGATTCTTATTTTATAATAATAAGTCATATATCGCCCTAACCTGGTCTAAATATATACACTTTTCCAACATGCCAACCTTTATGTGAACAAAATTGTTTGAAAGACATTACTAATCAACAACAAAAAATAATGGGAATTTTAAAATTTAAATTTGGCGGGTTTGAAGATCCAAATGATATATATGCCCCTGAAGCTCGATAAAATGTTCAGCTGAATTAATTACTTACTTTTGCCGTAACAACTCCGAAGGTTAGATGTGTTTTTTTGAGCTTAACGATTTTCGGTTGTTAAAGTAAATGAATCGATTTGGTGGCGAATTCTTGCCAAAAACAATACTGTAATGGCGCCCCAGCCTCCATATTCGTCAGACATGGCTTTGTGTGACTATTTCTAATTTTCATGAAACGAAGAAGGCCTTGAAAGACTTTGGTTTTACAAAATCGATGAAATCGCTGAAAAAGCCAAAGGCTGTTCTATAAATCGAGTTTGATAAGTATTTTGACGAATGGGGACTATTTTGAAAGCGACAACATTAATATAGGCAAATATAAAAAAAAGTCAAATAACGAAAATTCTGGTTATTTTTTGAGCACACCTAATATAACGAATATAGAAAAAAACTTGCTATTTTATTGGTTGGCATAGATTCACCCGACTATTTTGTGCTTGTGATAAAATTTCATACCTTTATTCTCAAACTTCAACAATCCTTTAATTGTAGTAATATCATTCTGCAGATTGGAGAAGCATCTTATTTGGAATTATTTGGAAACTAAACATATTTGTAGTCGAATCCGACGTTTTTTGTCAAAATTTTTCCAGGATTTAAAACCTTCTTACACAAAAGACATATATCTTGATCCCCGAATATTTATTATGTCATTTGTAATAAGTCTATTAAAAAGAAGTTGTATATTTTTTATGTTAAGTCAGCTGTGTCAGTCACAGGCTTTTCCATTGGTTGACTCAGTATTGTACGCGTTAAAGAGCGACACCAGGATAATATACTACTAATATAATAAAGACGAAAACGCAATCTAGTCAAGCGCATTTTTAATTTCGTCAATTCCGTTTCGGTAATTTTTATGTCAAACATTCATAACGCTATGAAAGACCAACTGCCGATAATATCAACAAATTAATGGAAATCGTAATATCGAACACCATGCAAACACTGTTTCGACTGCCCAAAAGTTAAAAATTGCATTAAAACCGTTTGGAACCTTTTGAATAAGACTAGATACAAGAAAATTTCAATGTAAATGCTCCATCCAAGTTAACGTAAAAATTCTCCAGGACCGAACTTTCAGATGCGAATCGATACTGAATCGCAACAAAATCGATCCGATTCTGAAGCAAATGCTGACTGGCAATGAACAGTGAGTAACTTACAACAACGCCAAGTAAAAAGCGTTGTGGCCGCATAGTATATATAAATATAGCGGTGAACCGGCGCAAACGGTGGACAAGCCAGGATTGATGGTCAGGAAGATTTTGCTATGTGTTTGGCAGGACTGGCAGATAATCACCTACTATGAGCTGCTCTACTAAAACTAAAATCCTAATTAGAACCCGCAATGTCAACAAGTAGAGCGCCTGAAGGAAAGATACAACCAGAAGCGGGCAACTTTGGCCGGTTGTGTTCCACAAGGACAATGCTAGGCTAAGCACATGGTTATTGACTCGCCAGAAGCTACAAAAGCTCGGTTTGGATTTTGTTATGCATTCACCTTGTAGTCCGCATCCCGCACCAAGGGAATCCTGCCCGTCAAAAAAAATTGAGCTCAAAAGAAGCTTGTGAAAATCGACTGTCTTAGTATTTTTTTCACTAGAAACGATTATTTCTATGAGAGTGGACTTGGAAAATGGCAATACGCTATCGAAGAAAACGGTGCCTATTTGATAATAAAATCTTAAATTTGGAAAAATAAAAAAATTTTCTTTATTAAATTGCGTTTGCTCAAAAGAAAAAATTTGTTACCCAAACAAACCATTTTTTTTAACTAATTTGACATTTGATATTGAATTACACTTTAGAAAAAAATTAAACTTTTATAAAGTAAAAAAATCAATAAATTTTTTAATCCAAATATTTTTATTTATTTTTGCAGAGTCCAACTCCACCACAGTATGTGTATTGGCAGAAAAACGATCGCCTTATTAACTATTATGACACGAGGCGTGACATTTCAATCGAGACCACACCTGGACCACGTACACAAAGTCGCCTCATCATAAGAGAGCCACAAATCACCGATTCGGGAAATTACACATGCTCGGCCAGCAATACGGAGCCAGCGAGCATTTACGTTTTCGTGTCAAAAGGTGAGCGGGTGAGCGGGTGTGCGGTTAAAATAGTAATCAACGTACTGAAAATACAAAATCGAGAAAAGTACAGTTTTTGTCAATAACGACACAGTGAAAATATAGAGAGCAGTAAAAAAGGAAATTCACATATTAACGCTCATCTAAAAAAAGAATAAATAGGACTTAAGGTTCATGCAAATATCTATCTATATATTAGTATATCTAAATAAGATAATATAGGTATAAAGAGTATGTAAAGAAAATCTGCAGTGAATTAGTTCACTCGATTTCATTATAAAACTATCATTTGACTTTTAAAGGTAGGAAAAGTTAAAGCGTTGATATTTACCGCAGTTCAAAAGTGGTTGCAAAGAGAATGCAGATTGCAGCGCTTTGACACCTTTTTGCAAATACGAGCATAATCTAAGCTTCTAAATCGTATTTCATCACTGAACGCCAGCCATTAAAAGTCAACTATAATTTAGAAATAAGCAACTAGAATTGGTAATAGTGGCAGCAGCTGTTGTCAACATTTCGCACTCATCCAATTTGTGCAAGCATTTTTTCAATTTATCCAGTTTTAATATTTTCACGCTTTTTCATTGTTGCAATTTTTGCATTTAAATGGGATTTTACGCAAATCTGCTCTGGATGCAATCTGCTGCTCATAGTTTCCATTTTGATTGTTGCCAAAATGCAGGCAAATAAGGAAAAATATTTGCATTAATTCATTTGTCGCAGATTTGCATTCGAATTTGTGGCGGTAATTTGCATTTATATTTACTGCATTATATTTTATGCTTTTGTTTTTGTTTTATAGTTTTTGGCTTATGTGAGATTGTAATTTTTGTCGCTCAACTCTTTGCAGGCGATAATATGGCGGCTATATCACGAAAGACTTCCTCGGCCGATCGGATTGCAGCGATATTCAAATATCTTTTGGCCCCTTGTGTGCTGGTGAATACGCTGGGTATAAGGTGAGTGCTGTGTAAATAATAATGTTAATATCATTTTGTTAGTATTTGAGGACTGATTTTAGCAAAACTTGAGTCAGCTGTTATAAATATAATACCGTATAGTGATTTTAATAAGTTCTGTTTTTCAGAAATCTAAAACTTGTATTTAAAACTAGAAAAAATAGTTAAGCGCTCAATATTTCTACCATATTTTCAAGCATAGCAAGCCTTGTCTAACCAATAACTCGTCGGATATTAAGTTTCAACTTGTAAATCAAAGCCTGTTAATAAGTGTAGACTTAACGTTCGCAAAAGTTTAATCTACACATAACTAAGGTAATCGAACCGAATCCCAAGATTAGCGATTGATTGCTGGAACCACATTTTACACACTTAGAAGCTTGTTATTGACTAGTCGAATCAAAAAGTATATAATTACAACATTTTATTGTAGCGGTCAGTATTGACAGTTACGTTAGTCATTTTGAGTTAAAGCAAGTAAGGAGGGGCTAAGTTCGGATGTAAGTGAGCATATTATACTCTCGCAAGGTGCAAGGATCAAACCCGGGAACTACCTTCAGGTGTTTGCGAAACTTTATTTTAAAAAAAATGTGGCGAAAAGGTTCAAATTCATTGTTCGACGAAATCGTAAATGGATTACAATCAAATTTTGTATCATATTAACTTATTTTGAAGGGCATAGACCCACTTAGTTTTAATAGTATATTTTACTTCGCTAAAATTATACTAAAATCATTCTCAAATGAGATATACGTATATGATATAAACTCAACCAAAGAAGGTAAATTTGATATATTGAGTTAATGTGAGAAAAGTGTGATATTTATTGAGGTAGAGAAATGAAATGATTGATTGCATTAATTGTTGAAATTGTTCAGGAATACTTGAGAACTTATTTTCAAGCAATTTTATAATTATATAATTATATACATATGAGTATATATGGAGTAAAGTAAGCTGGATATTTCAAAATCCTGAATATCAGTTGTATGGGGGCTAAGGCAAGTTTTCGTCAGATTTTATCCATTTACGACATAAAGATACACTATTATTAGAAAAAAAGCTCTTTCAGTTTTACTAAAATAACTCACATATAGGCCGATATAAGTGATATAATGTATAAAGTATAAATATGAATATTAATATTGAGATATTTGATTAATTTAGTTTTAGTGGCTTAGCGTTTTGTGAGATTTGTTTGTGAGACAAAACACCGTATAGGTGAAGTCTGTAGCAACATGTTGCAAAAGTATAAAAAGGATAACTTATTTCTTCAACATACAAATCACAACAGATAGTTACTGAATACTTGAGTCTTTTCAGGGCTGTTCGCTCTCCAAATAACCTGTTTCATTTCAGCGATTTAGAAATTTGTTAAAACACGTTTAAATTTTTGGAACTTATTTCAGGCCTCGGCATGTTATTTGAAAGCTTTTACCAAATATAAATATAAATGCTCAATACATGTGTTTACTTGACAGTATGTATGATATCCATGCCTCGGGGAAATTTTAAAAAATACCCATTACATTCAAAAGTGATTATTTTAACTTTTTCTAGTAGTCTGATAAATTAATTTGGGCTTATAGAAATTAGATTTACGGATATATATAATATATTTTATGGATTATATAATCCCGCAATAATGATATTGATATAAAAATCACTTCACTCAAAAATGTGAAAAACAACGGAATTCCTGATCAATTTTATGTAAATATTTAGAATTTCATAACACAACTATTCTTTGAAGATAGCTTGAATGGAAGAATCGACCACTTTGCACCAAAAGCCATAGGATGTTTTCTTAATTACCCTGAAAATCTCTATATCACTACATATTCTACTGTTTCACCATTCTCTTCTAGAGATCAAGCAAACATTTTGAAAGTGAATCATGCCAAATTTGAATCGAACATGCAGAATGCATTTTGTTATAAAGAAAATCATTTAAATTAGTATAGCTGAGATTATGGTAACATAAGATTCAGGTTGATACTGCTTACATAAAACATAAAAAATTCTTTACTTTACACTAGACGACAGACTATATCTTACACTAGAAGACAAAACTATACCCACAATTGTTTAAATAGATTACCCATATTACATCATTGCTATTCAACTAAAAATATTCTTAATTCAACCTAAATATTTTTATCTCGTATAAATACTTAAATTGGTATAAAAAATTTAAACATCATATTTCTAATTAACCTTGCAATTAGATAAATATAATTATACTAAACAAAATAAAAATGTATATTTAATTTACAGTTAAAGCTCATATTATTAACCTTAATTATTTTTCTCTCCATTTCAGGCGCATTTTTTTAACCTAAGACTTAAATTAAACATAACGAATATATTATAAATAATCCTATTTAAGATATTTTCAATTTAGATCTAACAACAAAAAATATAGAGAGCTATGGAAAAACTATCGTAAAATACTTAGCAGTATACAATAAATTTTAGCACAATTTAAATATGTACTATTTATTAGTGTTCTATTAAAAAACAAAAACAAAAAAAATACATAAATAAATAAACAACAAAATAATGAAACCAAAGGGAGCAAGAAATTGTTGCGAGTAAAAAACTGTAAATAGCGTTAGGATATTGACACAATAAAAAATACTTTAAGTTAAAATAACTGTAAATTACTATTTGTGAAGCATATTTTGTTATTAGATTACAAATTACAAAACCAAAAAAATCATATGAGAAGGCATATGTGTAAATTAAATTGATTAATGATATATGTATGTGTAATTACGTTTAAGTTTAGTATTAATTTTGTAATTTAAATTTCATACAAATTTAGTTGTAATATTTTTTGTATGTAAAAAGCATTTAACCTGCTCAGCTTGCTGCGCGAAACTTTGTACATTTTCATGGAAAAGTAAGGAGAACATAAAATAAAAGCAAACCAAAAAAAAAGAACATAAATAAAAAACAACACAGATAAATAAATATAGCCATTAATTGTAATTAATTAAATTAGGGTTTTGTTACACACATTTACGCTTATCTGTTAAAATCAATTAAAAAACCTAAGTGGACGTTAATAAAAAAATACAGAAAACAAATATATATACTGAACGATTAATGGAACATAACGGGGGATCGCGTGAGTTGGGTTTAAGCGCACTGGCGTAAGAAACAATTTATTATATTTAGATGTTAATGAATTTAAATATAATAAGCAAATAAATGATGTAGTGCAACTCTAGTTAAAAGTATATGTAGAAAATAAATAAATGAATAACTAATGAATAGTTTAAAGAATATCAGAAATAAGCTTAAAAATTTAAAACAAAAAGCCGAGCTAAGAGAATTTGTGGATAAAGAAAACATGCGACAAAACGCGAGCGCAAAAAAATATTGATAATAAGGAAGGAAAACAAAATAAAATTATTATAAATTCTATTAAATGTAGAATCCTTATTAAAATTCCATGAAAATTAAGCAAACAAAAATAAAATACTACAAATGTTCACCGAAACTGCAGAGGCAGTCATATATGGCAACTAGAAACGAAAGCATTAATACAGTGGGCATAAATTAAGTTAAATTTGATTTCCCATTTTCAAATTCATAGTACTTTTTATAAGAAGAGAGGTTCGAATCAGCTGCTAATATTAAAAATAGTTTTCACTTAGAACCACTATTGAGCGTCTTTATTAATCAGCAATACAATACCCTACAGAATCTTTATTAAACAATAAATTCCAGAATGTTGTAAGTAGAGCATTTCTTCTATACATTTTAACCTAAAAACAAATGTTTTAATGCGTACATGAAAATTCAAATCATAATATACCTATAAATAGTTTATATTATCCAGATACCCACACATTTTTTGGAATATTCGCGTATTTCTAAGAAGTTCCGAAGCGCCTATAATTTTAATTTTTCTAATAAATAATATCGGTTTTTGATTTTCCAAATGTTGTAATGAAGTATGTATATCGAACAAACGCGATACCAGCTATTTATAGAGACTGGCATTTGGCGCAGGGTTGTCCCCTTGGTTGAAGTAGCATCCTTACATAAATGTTTGGCAATTTTTTGTTCTTTTAATTAGTCACAAATCGACTATACCATTTGAATGAGACATCCTCATACTTTCTTTATTGCATTCAATAAGCCATGTTGCTGCTATCGAATGTACAGTTTATAGATCGCGAGCCCAAAAATGGAGAATCCATGACGGCTGATATCTCCTTTTCAAAACAAACCTAACATTAAGCTTGGTAGGAAAACCCAAAGTCATTTATCGACGAAAACGATTAGATAATTAATTAGTCGATTTCTCTAATAGCTAATTTTGAGTTCGACCCCAAAAGCAATAGTTTCCCAAACAAAACGAAACATTATTCCTAAATAGCGAAAGCGTAGGTTCTCAAACGATTTTTAAAGTACAATAGCTCCCCAATAAGACCCTGATATGAATTGGTAAATAAAAACGAGTTCAAGTAAACTTGCTTTTTTAATAACATATATTGTTGAATTTTAGATCTGTCTGACTAGTCTCCAACGGAGATCTGATATAGTCGGTCGCCCTTGCTTTCAACAAGAGAGTTATACTAGTTATACCTATAATAATGTAGTCATTAACTTCCAGTTTTACGTACATAATATAGATATGAATTTAATTTGTTTGGAGAATAAATCCCAGAAAAATAAATTTAAAATCCATGAAAGGTGTGAAAGATGGTGTTCGTGATCAGCTAGTGAACGTTTATTACTGACTGTCACATACATTTAAGCTTGGAAGATATTATTGATCATGATAAGTCTTATTAGTATGATCTTCCTTTGCGCAATTTTTGATTGCACTTTTTGTGCTCTCAACACAAATTTCTATTATTTATTATATTATATTTCTTTTTTATTCGCAGTAACGCGTATACCGCCGGTCGAGCACTTAACAAATAAAAAATGTTCATTTTATTTTGCCGTTATTAATACTTGTATTGCCCACTGTACATCTGCCGCATTGTAACTAAGCTGAAATAAAAATCAATGAAGAAAATACATACATAACTATTTGTAGATAAGCGCATTTAATGTACACAATTCAGTATGAGAATAAACAGACATTCTAATCATTAATAATGCAGTTTGATTTATTTTAAAGTATTAATTACTATCCAGCAAATTCCAAAGTCTGAAATTATACGCTTGTCATTCCTTTTTGAGGTGAGTATTTGCTTTAATTATTATAAATATCGGTGATTAAATAACAACCAACTTGCAAGACTGATATATAGCAGAAATACAGTCAAATAGAACTGAAGTTAACAGCCCTTTAATTGCTTATTTACCAAAATGAGGAACAAGAGAGCAAATGCAGTCTTAGTTCTTCACCTTTTAGCTACCAACGCTAAACATATTCTTTTGAGAACTGTAAATACAATGTGCGTTCCAAAGTAAACAGTAAAAAAGTAACAAAGTAAACTCTAGTGACGCCATCTATATGTCGACCAGTGCGTTAGAGTCTGCTATCTTTTATCAACTTCCAGTAAAAATTTCATGACATTTCATCTATTGGAAGTGAAGTTATTGCGTTTTAAGTGTCAGTATGTTTTTGTGTTCGGTGCGAAAATGAGCTTCGAACAAAGAGCCAACATTAAATTTTGTGTTAAAATTGGTAAAACTTTTACCGAAACGTTTTAATTGATGAAAAAAGTTTATGGCGCTGATTGCCTATCCCGTAGCACAGTGCACGAGTGGTTTCAACGTTTTCAAAATGGTCGTGAGGACATGAATGAGAAATGAGCCGAAACCCAAAAAATCGCGCCTGGAGAAGTCAAAAGTGAAGACAATGCTGATTTGTTTTTATGATTGCAAGGGTATTGTCCACAAAGTTAATGCGGTCTACCTTAGAATTTTGAAGCGTTTGGTGAGCCCTATTCGACGCGTTCGGGCCAAATATCGCGAAGATGGAAATTGGCATTTGTTGCACAATAATGCACCGTCTCATCAATCGACGCTTGTGGCCGATTATTTGACCAAAAATCACATTTTAACAATCAACCAGTTCCCGTATTCACCTGATATGGCACCGTGCGACTTCTACCTTTTCGAAAAAATGCATTTGCCGATGAAAGGAAAGCGTTATGCAGACGTGGAGGCCATTCAAAAGGCTTGCACCGGCATACTGGCGACCATAACGGACAACGAGCAACGAGCTAAAACACTCGTTCGACATGCTTTTGGACCGTGCAAAAAGCTGTATTAAAGCAGAAGGAGACTATTTTGAATAATTAATTGATTTTGCCGATAAAACTATTTGTTCTGACTTTTTTTCTAAAAGTCCTGTATACTTTGGAACGCACCTTGTATCACTGCTAAAATATAGAAACAAATATCTCAAATTATTGAGCAAGAACAGTTAGTAACAGCTTTCTGTTTAAACATAGTTTACCTAAAATTCGAAATGACGTAACCCGGTTGCCGTGATGAGGCAACACTTACAGCTGAATACTCGTATAGACGTTTTTGAGGTTGGTAAGCTAATTTCGAAATAACACATATCGCACACTAACTAGAAAATAGTCACAACTCGAAACATGACAAATGTTCAGAAGGAGCAAAAAACTGTTCCTGTAAAAATTATTTTATTTAACAGTGAAATCTTCGTCTACACGTATAATGTAGAATTTCTTTTTTAAAGAGCGTCTTACTTAAATATTATTGATTTTCCAGTTTAAAAGAGAATTTAAGTAACATTTTTGAGTTAAAACATCGAACAACAGTGTGATAATCATAATTATTTCATCGAAATTGACACTTTTCAAATAACACAGATGATTAAACTCACTCAGGTATAGAGACACATTATTATTTCAGCGATAGCGATACAACTACAAATAGTATTATTTAGTTGATACTGCACATGCCGCAATTAACACAACAGTAGATGTTAAGTAAGATAATGATGACAACGAAATTTCTTGATTAGGTAAATAAGTGTATTACGAATTGATATATTGAAAAAATTGATTTTGAAAATTTTTAGTTGTGGCCCTTTTTTAGTTAGTGTGCGATTTATTAGAAAATTCCTGATATATAAATATGTACAAGGAGTGGGATGTTTGGGTATACGTATGTATCAGTTATCGTTTGGAAGTTAAAAGATTTTGGCAATTTGTAATCATACAAACATTATTCTATGAAATGGAAATGGACCTAACTCACGCCTGTTCACACATTTTTCTCTATGGTCTAGCTTTTTGGAAATCTTTTATATCCCGTCCCTCTATTAGATGACACCAATGGTAACTATTAATTTGAAAAAATTAGCCTAGTACAATATAAAAAATGTATAGGTTTCTAAAACCAAGTCTCTAAATGGAAAATGTTATACATACGTACACAGGCTGTCGTAAATAATATAAATAAAACCGAAAGGACGGATATGGTTATATTGGTTCAATAGTATATGATATTCATGATGATATATTGGCAATACTCTTTGTTATATAACATAATGGCCTTTGCGGTCTATACCATTATGACTATTTTTCTATATATTGTCTGTTTGCTTTGTCTTTTGCTGGTAAGAAGACTTAGCCTCGGTCTTTAGCTCTTCATTGTAGAAAAATTTCTTTCCAGCGAGCGTTTGCTTGAGACCTGAGCTCAGAACTAAACGTCTTATTATATAAGTGGCAGATTGGCTTTTCAACGCAAAGTAAATTAACATATGGTTTTGAGATCAAGTAAAGATTGACGGCAAAGATTTGTTTAGTGCCCATCGGATACTCGTTTCATGAAAAACGTATATTTGCCATGTCGGAGTGGACCCTAGACATATATTATTCATATATATTCATATTTCTTAATAACATAGCTCTGGCGCTAATGGTAAAAGATTAGGACTTGTACGTATAAGTGTGTATCAGTGTAGGAGTTGCCGGATTTTGTCAATTTCTCTTCTCTAGTTAAACCTAAAAAAAAAATCACTTTACCTAATAACTACTTGTATATAAGTCTGTGTTTCACAAATAACATAATATGTGTATAACACAACAATTTCCCCATTTCTTTGACTTTCTGAAATGTAATTCCACATGACGTTTTAATTACACGATTATGTTGACATTACATTCAGGTTTATTGTTGACAATGCCTGCAGACAATTAATAACCAGTGGTTGGCAGCAACTTTCGACCGAATAGATAAGAAATTGACGTGCGATCCAAAAAAGAATAATAACCATGGCCAGGTTTCTATACACGCATAATCGTATTCAAAAAAACAGAAGCTATGAAAAATAGTAATAAATTATTACCAAAACCGCAAAAAACTTTCCATTTGTGTGTCAAGTAATCCCAGCGCGTGCATATGCACATTACTTTTATTAGATTACATATTTATATGAGGTGTGTGAGAGGGAATAGCTAAAAGGAAGATGTTAATACTAAATTAATGAACGGCCACTAAATGCGAAAGCTCAGACGTGCTCGCAACAACCACTGATGATTTTATTGGCCCCTGTCATTGCTGTGTCGGACATGTCGGACAAACGCAGTGGGAATATTCATTTTGCCGTTTGCTTGTTTAACAACTAATTTTCATAAATTTCCAATTAAACGCTGTCATGATGTTTATCTTGTCACTGACTGCTGGCTCGCATACTGTACATTAACGCATGTAAAGAGATTATGCCTAAAAACCGCTAATGAATATGTATCTTTGCGACTGTTGCCAGCAGTTCAGAGTGTAGGCAGTGCAAATTAATTAATCTGTAAAATTTTACGTGAAAAAAATCAAGGGCGGAAGTTGGACACCTTCAAGGTTATTTATAATTATCAAACCAAATTTGACATTTCAGATTTCATGCGCTTAAATTTGGTTTTATTTTTACTTTCATTGTATATCAATAAATATTTATTATATACAATATACTCAAGTGATGTATGATGGAATACTTACGGCCAGCTGACTCAACATTTTAGATCATTGGATCCAGGCTCGGCTTCACTGCGGGCATGGTATAAAACTCGACATTGTTAATGCACTCGGGCTATATTGGATATAAAATGGACCAATGATTCTGTGATCGATAGTATCAACGGCGAAATCTGTGTATTCGAAAACAGATCAAACGAAACATTTCACCTTCTAGTGGATAGCCCAGCGGCTATGCGTAACACCTATACCTATACTAAGCCTTACTGCGTTAAGTTTTGCAAGGAGGCAATAGTAGACTCGCAGTGGGAAACTCGGTAAAAATCTTCTTGGTACCAATCATATGGGAATAGAACGAATCGATTAAGCAGATGAGCTGGTCCGCTCGCTGCCCCTCGACTCCTTCAAGGTGTGCTTGAAGAAATGAAATCTAGAGGAACACCTCAGAATTTGGAACACTGGCACCACAGGGCATACCACAAACTTTAGACAAGAGGAAATTAAGTAACTTTTTAGGCAAGGCACTCACTTCTAAGGTCCCACCTTCACAGAGTTAAGTAAAGTGCATTCGGCGAAATGAAGAGTATGCGGGGAGCATGATAAGACGGTGGAACATTACTTTTATGAATCGCCAGCTTTCAGCCGACGGAGACGTCATATCTTTCACTGCTCCCAATGTTAAAAGTGAAAAGACATTGGAGGAAAAATATCAGGTATTTTATCAAAAGCACAGAGTGTCTAACTTTAGCTTAATTAGTTATTAGCTTAATTAGCAGGACCAACCAACCAAAAACCATATACACTACAACCAAATGGTTTTCCAAACTCTTTTATAGGAAGGTATTGCCGAAGTTTCATTGACTATGTTTACTAAAGAAATTATAAACTTTTTTTAATTATGATTGACTTGATTGACGTTTTTAACATTCGACTAAAAAAAAATTTATTCATTTAATAATCTTTTTAGCTTTAACATTTTTGAGAAGTTTATATTAAATTTTTTGGCAAAAAACGGTTTTATTGTTAAACTTATTTGCCGTGTCAACCAATTGAAGTACAACTTATTTCGTTCTCGGTGATTTTTTCCTAGTGGCCATTCTCATTATATTGTTTTCATTGGGGACTGTGGTATGGTGATTTAGAAGATTGTGAACTTTTGTAACACTCACCTTTGCGTACAAAACAAGAAAATATGTTAACTT